TGGGGTTCACGTCTACTTGTTTGATGTTGACACCGATAAAAAAAGCGATCTTGGAAAGGAATGGCGTACGACTTCAGCACTCTTCACAGAATCGCACAGTCCCACTCAATTCACGAGCCCCATTCAGCATTGCAGAATGGGGCAAACTAGCTAGCAACAACCGCCGATTCTGCGTGACTTGGCCGAGCTGGTCAGACTCTCTCAGTTAAGACAGGTTGACAGGGAACTCACGGTGGCCAGGATCTTCATCTGGGTCCTCCAGTAGAGAGGTTAGGATGAGGGTACCTTTTTTGCTGTAGTCTACTTTAGGGGAACCCTCCCCCACAAAAAGGGTCACAGGGTTGCACTCCTCTCGCTTTTGAGGTAGTTTTCTAAATCCAAGCCTGCAGGACTCGGAACCCACAGCATAGCTCACGACTCCAAGAGGTGTCCGCTCAAGGAAGACCTTGACAAGCGAAGCTGTTCTTTAGGGGATTGAAATGGCCCCCTTATTCTTCCACCTCCAACTAATCCACTTTGGAACCTCCCAACTTGGAGGCTAAACCAGACCTACCCCGCCCCGGCAATGGCCACGTACCACGCGCCTTGTCGCCCCTCTCTTGGCGCTCCGTCTGCTGCTTGCTGCTAACCTCAGACTGTGAATCTCATGGAAAGTTTTAGGGAGATGTTGTTTTTCCCCAAGTCTTCGTTTGTTTTTTGGTTTCACCACTTTCGGAAGACAACAAACACCTATATAGGCTCCCTCCAACGGAAGTGAATAGGGTGGTCTCCCCAAAAGGAAAGTACTCTTCCAAACCCTCCCGTTAGTTTCCATTGTTGAGGGTGGTGCTGCCGGGTTGTTGCATTTGGGGTCGACATTGCCGCGGGCAGACTGCTTGTCAAAGGGAGGCAAACTACGTGCCTCTGTGCGTGGCAATCTTGGTACCTCCCAGTTCAAAGGGAAGATATGTCAGTGGCATGCAGCTGCTTAGCTTGCCAGCGGCAAGGGACCCACAACAACCAGTTGCTTCATGTCTCCGAGCTAAGCGTTCCTGAGCCTTCTGACCGCTGAAGCACCTTCAACAAATTCAAAAGAACACCAAAACCAAAGACGCATAGTGACCAATGTTGCAATATCTGTTGACATACGCCTGCAACCCACGTATAGGTTTGTGCCCCTGGCAAGGGCTAAGCTATCGGGCGTATGGCTGCCTTTCGGGCCGGATCAAGTGGCCAATGGCAGTCTAGGTATGGTATGGACTAAGCATTCTCCATGGGCAAACAAGCGAAACAAGCAAACATGCAAACAAACAAACATGCAAACAAGCAAACACACAGGTGAACACACAAACAAACAAGGAAACAAATGAACAAGCAAACCGACAAGCAGGCAACAACACAAGCAAGCAAACGTACAAACAAACAAGCAAGCAAACAAGCAAGCAAAACCATGAACAAACAAACAACAAACAAGCAAACAAACAAGCACACAACCAAACAAACTAACAAGAAAGCAAGCAAGCAAACACACAAACAAACAAACAGTCAAGTAAACAAACAGGCAAACAGGCAAGCAAGCAAAGAAGCAAGCTAGCACACAAGCCCAAACCAGTGGCTTTCCATGAGATTCTTTACTTGATGCATGGTGAGAGGTTGCTTCAGGGTGTCTTCAGGGTGAGGTTTCATGGCTTCCCCGGAGGCGACGCCGCGCCATTTCTCGCGAGGCACCACCGCCTGAGCCTCCCTCAGCTGCTGCGAGAGCTGCTCGGAGGCCGAGGGCGCCGCGGCCACACCTGGCGCGAACCCTGGCGCTCAGTGAGTCATGCCCTTCCTTTGGCTTTGATTAGGAAATGATGTTCGGGGGACTTAGTTGGGATTTCACCAGTTGAGGAAATATATCCTGGAAGCCAGAATGGCCCCATTCCGGGGCATAACTCATCCCCTGCCTACCATCAAGCCAAGAGTTGGCGGCGTTGCTCCTGAACATCGGGAACCCGGCGACCCCGTTGCCTCGAAACTCGCTGGACTATCGGGGCCATGAATTCAGAAGTGGGTCAGCCCCTGGATTGAACGTGTTTGCAAAAGACTTGCTTGCTCAAATAACTTGCGTTTGGTATCCCTCCAAAAGAGACCAGGAGCTGGCTGTTTAAACAACCTTGGCCCAACCCTGAAAAACAACCTGGTCACAAAGGAAAGCCTTTTAAACATACACGCACACACCTTTCTTTAGGCAACCCCTCTCTGCCTTATATCTATGTAGTTCCACGTTTAGGGTCTGCCAGAAAGACGAGGCCAATGGCGCCATTGGTCACGTGTCACGCGTACGCCTGCCCAGGCCGATGGGTCGAAGCCAGGCATCGCAGACATCCTCGGGCGCCAAGCTTTCAACAACCCTCGGCGCCAATGCTCAAGCAGGTAGATTCGTACATGACATATATATATATATATGGATATATATGTATGTACATATGCATGTATATATATATATATATATATTATGTAAGTAGCACTGGAACTAATTTAGAGTAGAAATGGAATATCAAGCCGCGAGAAACAGCGCTCTTGTCAGTGAGGAAACCACAACAACGGGGCCAAACTCGCCCACTCCAATCCCTACCAATCAAGCAGGGCTTCGGTGATGTCACTGCACAACAAATAACCCATGCTGATGCGCCAGCTTGTAAGTGGCTTGGTACCTTTGCCCGTGCAAAGGTTATGAAGCATTGGCAACACGCCCCCTGGTACCCCTGTGATACTTAAAAGCGATCGCGATGCCCTTTGAGTGCGACTGACTGACTGATTTAGCCCCCATAAAGCTTCAGTTATCTTCAGTTAAAGAACATCTTTGAATTTCTGGGGTATTCCAAAAGAAAGCAGTCCACATTACTGTTGCAACTGCCAACTCTCCATAAGGCAAGCTCTTTGCAGCCCGGGTCCCCACCTGAACTCTTGATTCACTTCTTCCACTGTCTCAAAGTCAAGGGGCTTGTATAAAGTGCCTGTGTGTCATTTGGAGTTTAAAGAATGAAACAAGTGCCCTGAACAGCGTTTGGGGCAGTTGATTCTGCCTTCAACTGGCCTCAAAACGGGCCAAGAAGAATTTGGCTTCCGTTTGGAACGAGTGAAGAAGCCCTGGCTGCTTAGCACCCACCAGGCGATTTACGCCTTCGGTTGGGCCTCCGCGCAGGGTCGCCAGGTCCAATCCCGGCACCGCCAGGCCCGACATTGCCCCGGCCGCATCGCCTTTCAGAGGGTCGAAAACAGGTTGGCTTGGGCAGGTTTCGTGGTGGTTTAGGGTTGGTTCAGGCTTGGTTTGGTTGGGTTAGGCGGGTTTAGTGGTGGTTTGTGGTGGGTGCAGGGCCCGCAACATGATTTAAGGTGGGCTTTGGATTATTTAGGACCTTAGGGTTCGTTCACAATATGTTGGGTTTGCCTGTTGAGGTCATCACAAAGCCGACGACCCCTTTGAAGAACTGCAGCACCCCCACTAGAAAACAAATGCGCTCTTACAAACAGCGTGCTGGGTGATGCTGAGAATGCAGAAAGCCAAAGCCACAAACGCCACCAAAAGCCACTCGCAAAAGCCACGCAAGCCAAGAAAACCAAAAACAACTCCCGGAAAAATCAGAATCCTGAAACAACTCCAATGGCAATTGGAACGGCAAAGTGGGCAAAGCGAACAATGGTGCATGATCTCGCATCGGGTAATATCAGCTCTCTTGTCAAGTCTTGGACGCTTGGCACATAAAAAAACCAAGTAGAGAGCACATGCGATTGAGTAACCAAACGGCGTCAAGGTTGAAGACCGAACTGAATCTACAGTCGACCTCACTGTTTGGATCCAACATGAGCTCAATAATTTTGACTCGAACTCCAGGCAAACCCAAGCACCCTCGCGGGTGGCTTTTGGCTGAGTCCGCTAGGGAGCCAGGCTTTGAGGCTTTGTTGGTGGAACGAATCCTATGTGGGTCCGAAAGGAACCCCCCCAATCCCAACAGGGGCCTAAAACCAGGTCCAAAAAGGAGTCTTCTTAGGGTCAATTCTGGAGTCCACCTCAGGATAAACCACCTCAAAGAAAAACCGGATAGCCTTACACCAGCAATATTCTCCCAGTTCGGGGGCCTGGTTTGGGGGTGGACCTCAGGAACGCGCCTCCAGTCCAGCCTGGGATCTGCGCGCCGAAGCTCCTCGGCTGCTTTGATTCGGCCGTGGAGATGCGGGAAGCCCTAAGTGCAGAGAAGCTACCCATGTAGCCCATGGGTAGCTACCTACGTGGGTAGCTTCCCCCAAAAAAAACTGGCGGATAACACACACACACATATATCTATACATATAAATATGCAAGTGTGCACATGTTTGTACACATATGTGGCACTACGATGCATGGCTAACATTGGACATGTACTGGCTCCTGAATTCAGTGTGAACTAAGAGGTGCCTAGACTGCCTGGAAAGTCACAAATACCAATCGCATTTTCAGAAGCAACTGTGGCCTATCCAGCATGCAACAAATCATGTGACGCCTGTGTCTTGCCAGCACGCGCCGGCACAGGCAAGCAGACCTGTTCAACTCGTGGAGGCTTCTTTCTTCAGCCTGCAGCCAACGCCACTGCTTGTGTTGTACTTTAAACTAATACGTGTTCAGCTTGCATGAGCAAAACAACCAACATACTGCAACCACAAACAAGCCCATTGTTTTTGTTCGTTTTTTCTCTGAGCAGTTGGAGGTAGCATCAAGCAAAGAAACCCCTCCAACCCACCCCCAACCGAGTGCGCCGCTCACGTCACAGAACCGAGCCGCATCCGGCTTCGGAAACGGCCATGCTCCGGATGCTCTGGTCTCGGGCCATTCAGCTGCGGTCATGGGCGAAGCTAAGACTTTCATTGCCCTGAAAACCAAACACATTTGATGATGGTGTCCTAGAATTGGGAACTTTGATGTTTCAGTTGGGAACCACCTGCAAATCAGGTGGTTCCTTAGCCACTGGTCAACCAGCGTACACAAGCGTGGCAGGACTGGCCGCAGCATTGCCCGGCAGGCGCTTGGCCTCAAGCAAGAACCGGTCGCAAAGCGGGTGCTTTCGTTTAGGTTTCCGAGGTGCTGCTGCTGCTGCTGCTGCTGCTGCTGCTGCTGCTGCTGCTGCTGCTGCTGCACGTAAGAGAGCCCTCCAGTAATTACTTGACTCCAAAGGCCAGCATCAAATATAACTTCTCCCTGCTCTTTGACCCGCAAAAAGTTGCAGCATTTTGTTCGTGCGCCAAACCAAGACCAAAGGTCCAACGAAGGAGTAGCCAAGGCAGCCAAGGACTCTTAGATTTCGCTGTTGCCAGAAACGATAGATAAATTTGCCAGCCAGCTCAAAGGAGCTCCACACGGGGTGAATTGTACGGTTGATCTAGGATGAATAACCCCCCGGTGCATGCGTCCCAATAAAACAATGCGAATCACTTTTGGGGGAAACACATCCAAAAGAATCCAACAGGTTAATCGATCTGGGTCGACATATGGAACCCTGACACGACTGCTTCATGTCGAGGCTTGGCTTTCGTCAAGCCTCCAAAAGCTCAAGATGGCTAGGGCCTTGGGGGCAGGAATCGAATTGGCGCTACCCCTCGTCTGCGCCGAGACTGGAAAAGCTTTCACGTTGACTGGGTGCTTTGGGCGCGTTGGTTGGGCCGGTTGGGCGGTTGGTTTGGTTGGGTGGTTGGGGAGTCATGTAAAGACACCCCTTCTAGAATAAACCATTTTTGGAGGTTGTTTGTGCTGGGGGTGGTCCGGGGAAAGCCTGCGAGATCACCAGGGGGCCCACCGAGATCCGCTTCACTGCCAAGGTGGTCTTTGCGTTGCCTCGGCGCGCCGAGATCTCTTCAAGGTGTTTGAGCTGATGTTTGCCTGCGCAGCTTGAAAAAGGCCTACCTCCAAATTTGTGATACTACCAGTGCGCCCAAATCTGTAGAAATCTGAGTCAGGAAATGGCTTGTTTAGCGTCATGGAGCCAAATGCTGCTGACTTGTTTCGACCCCTACCCAAGAGATTCGGGCGATCTCCCGCCCAGGTTGGCGACATCGCTCGGCAAATGCAACCCTGTGTTTTTTTTGGACTATTTCAACAAGCTGCGCTTATCCACATGTCCAAGTACATTCCTATCAAAGTATTCAGAAAGATGTGTGTATAGTTACATCGGCGCATCCATTATCATATGCCTTTGTGAATGATATATAACCAGGGGGCTGGGCTTTCTGGCAAGGAACATGCTGCAGAAGCCTCCCTACACGGCTGAAGTTGAAACAAGCGGGCTGCAAAAAGTCCCTCACACAACGTCAAATCAGGGAGCACAATGGCGCAAAGGTCCAGGTGATCAATGTGAAACGTGCAATGTCCCAAAGCTTAGGGGGCCCTCTACGTCCTTGACAGCACTCTGAGATCCTAGCTCAGCTGTCTACTCGCCACCTGCGGCAGTTGCACTGATCATCCTTCCACGAGCACTGCCAGTCTAAATTGAGCTGCGGCATGTTGGCTCAGCATCCTACCGTGCTCCTACGGAGGAACCCACCCTGCCCAAAAAGTTTTAACAACAAACTAAGATGTGCACCTTGTGTTGATTGCGCCACTTGAGCGGATTCCCCTGGGAAACTGGAAGTGCAAAGGCATTGGGGCGTCTGAAGACAATACCTCAGCTGCCCAAATGCCGCCAACGAACCAATCGCAGAAAGGATTACTTTCATCCTTTGCCTCACTGGACAACCAAAACAGTGAGTCAAACACCCTTCCCTAAGCTCCGCAAAAACACCCGAGCATACACACACACACACACGCAAACAAAAAAAAACTCCGTGCCGTTGTCGTAGAGATAGCATGTTCAAGCCACCATATGCCATCGCTGGCAAGCCGGGCTGAGAAGTCACGATACCTGATATAAAAACGCTCAGACGCGTCACGACTCTTTGGCCCCGATAGCCCCAGCCAGCCCCAGGCCTGCGCAGCGGAGTTCATGGCCTAAGCTCGGTCCACGCGAAGCTTCGAGGAAACCAGCGAAGGACGCAGTGCGAAAAACAATGCTGGCATGGCCAAGAGAAGAAAAAGAGTGTGGCTGCTTCACTTGAAAGAAGAACTTGCCAAGCTTTCCACCTGCCAAAGCATGGCAAATCGCTGCATAGTCTAAACTTGCGGGCTTTTGTCTGGTCGCGTGCCTGCATTTTGAGAGTATTCCAGTATTCCCACACCTGGGGCGGTTGTTAGTTCTCATCATCTCTTGATGAAGGGCCAGCATGAAACAAGCACGTTGCATTACTTCACAACCCGTGCCCTCTTGTTTTTTGCCTGTGGTCACCAGCTTGTTGTATGGGGAACCCGTCTTTCAAACCCCCGAACCTTGTTCCGTGACCTCCAAACAAACCGTTTCGCTCCAAGAAAACCGACCCCCGCCGTTTTCCCTTGCCGGGCACCATGCATTGGAGTCCCAAGCCCCCGCTCCCGAAACTTGGGCAGCAGGCGGCCAGTGCCTCCTCCAAGGGCGACTGCTCCTTGGCCTCGGTGCCGGACACGTCCCGGGCAAGGGAAGCCACAAATTCAGCTGAACGAAACCGCTGGTCGACTGTGTGCTTCTGGGTCCATTTGGTTGGAAGACAAATGGCTGCTCTAAACAACTGAAAGACAATGCTCAAGCCTAGCCCTGAATTGCAGCCTTCCACAAAACCCACAAAGGACTACTTTCATCCTGGTGGAAACTTGCCCAAGCATGATCTACGGCAATCATCCATTCCCATCTGCGGCTTGGTGCCGAACCCTGGCAAATTGGCGGGGGGGCCGTGTGTTGCTGCCCTTCTGGAGAATCAGAACACACATGGGTTAAGGAGTACCCTCTTCTAAATGGTATGCACCAACCGTGCGACAGAATAACAACATAGAAGCCATTGCACATGTCTGGCACGTGGAGTAGCTAGCAGGTAGGCCCACTCCTCAACACGTGGGCGAGCCGCTGGCGGCAGAGACGAGAGCTGATAGAGGCGTACAAGCTAAACGCAGTCCTAAATCTTCATTCACACAAGCCAGCACTAATTTAAAGCTAACAACTGCAAACTTGTCGTGAACATCGCACCTTTTGCAACGTACAAGCCAGCCACAATCTTGACACAAGAGCCACTTGTGCCGGCCTCCTCTTTCTCCTCTTTGCCGCCCTGCACGGGCTTCATCACGCAAAAGGAAAATCCGGAAAGAGAAACCACACCGGCTTACGCATATTTGTGTCAGAAGCACGGGCAAAAACCAGTGCGCAACAAGTTGATACAAACGAAGTGAAAGTGCATCGCCACGGCAACGTGATGAACATGATGCATCAACATCACGATATCTGAATTTGGTGCCTGCATGAATGGCATCTGCTCACTGCCCGATCGGTGAAGCTGTTCTTCTGAGGTACACCCTCGGGCCTCTTCCTCCTTCACCCCTTCTTCTTTCACCTCATCCTTTGCTTCCTGCTCCTCCTTCTCTTCTTTCATCTCCTCATCCTTTGCTTCCTTGTCCTTCTCGTTGCCTGCCAGCACTCGTTGCCAGTAAGCTTTGCATGCAGCCCCTACGTCAAGCCAAGGCGCATCGCATGAGCTGCTGCAAAGCTTGCAGCCTATTGGGCGCATCAAGGATCTCAACTCGAGTCGTGAGAAACCGCCTGTGGTACTAGCTAGTTGGATGCTAGCCCTTCGAGAACCACATGCATCCGCCATGCAAACGCTCCGGCTCCGGCGCCTTCTGCCTTTGCGGGCCTTTTGTCCTGCCGACGGGGCAAGCGAAAGCATGTGAGAGCTAGGGCCCCTTCACCGAGCTTCGGCTCACCTGGTTTTACGTCATCAAGCGTCGGGACCACCTTTCAAACCAGGAAAGTAAAGCTTCAACTCAAATGGAAGAGGCCAAACGGTCTAAGAAACAAGGCCGGGAATCGTCAGCTAAGAATCTAAATACAATTTGCCCAAGATAGGACTGCCTGATTGCCACCCAACTGCGAATTAGGCCACCAACGATCAACCAAAAGTGACTTAAAAGGGGCAGCAGGAATTTCTTGACACAGCATTCCGTCCACCTATGTCACCGCCAAATCGCGTTGTGAGCCACTGCTTTGCAAGTTCCCCATGCGGCCTGAACGCCCGCACCAGCGTTGATAACCACCATCCCGAACCCCCCTACAAATTAACCAAAAGGGGAGGTGCGCCAACGGAAGCTTCTGCTACAAATGGTAGTTCGTTGGGTTCCATGTGAAACTGTAGGGGAGTATATAAGAGGTCCGGGCAAATTACTCTCTCACAAACCTGACCTTCATCTCCAAGCAAGGGCCGAGTCATGCGTGCACTGTTCATGGAAGGGTGCTGCCTATGAACAGTTTCAGAGTTGAAAAAGGACAGCACAACAACACAGATCCTTTTTCGCTCCCTTTCAGTTGGCCTCCACCAACATTCCCGCCCGGCCCTCTCCCGTCCATTCCGCTCAATGAAGACCACCCTTGTGATGCCAAATGAGGCTTTATTGCAGAAATTCGTTCCCCCCCCCCCCCGAAAACAAAAAGAACAACAGCGCAATCAATTCACATCACACGGCAACCTCCTTTACAAATTATCATGGAACCAACAAAAACCATTTGTAGATTCTGGAAACTCCTTTTGAGAATCGGACGCCCCCCTTTTGGGTTCCATCCGAAAATTTCATGGGGAGCAGGTTATTTGTTGAGTGGATTGGAAATAACAAAAGGGTGTTTTTTACCGCTCAAATTCGACAACACCAAAAAGTGGCTCAACTCCGGGGAGCCAGTAAAAATCCAAAGCCAAAAGGTGATTCAAGTCCAGAAACTCGGGTCAGTCGCATCTCCCCCAACCCCCCGCCCCCCTTCCGCCCGCCACCGCCCCCCACCTCCCCATCAGATGCATCGGTCCTCGGAGGCCATGAGCTCCTGCAAGGGCGCCGCCAGCTCTGCGGCCGCCTCCACCGCCTTCTCGGCCTCCAGCACCTCACGGCTTCACGCGAGTGGGGGCTAGGGGTGGGGAGGGGGTGGTGGGGGGTGGGCGGTGGGGGTGGTGGAAGGTGGGGGGGTGAAGTTGGGATAGGGAAAACCCACTACAAACAAACACTGGTCAGAGGAAAGGTTTGAAGAGGCCAGGAAATTCTTGGCCTCTACAGTAATGAATCCAAAGGTGAGCCATTTGAGCATTTGGACAAGGGGTCGGGCTAAGGCTAAATTTGAGGACACACCAGTTGATTATGTTTCCTCCTGGTGGTTGACTAGGTCCTCCAGTAGAGAGCAAGGGTTCCCTATTTTTATGTAGTCTATTTTAGCAGGGAAACCCTCCCCAAAAAAAGGGTAAAAGGGCACTACTGAGGGACTCAGTTGATCTGGATTGGAAAAGGGCCGGATCATTTTTGGGGAAGCACCCGCCAATTGGTCTGTGGGGTAAATCTTGTGCTGGGGTGACAGCAGCATTGTGGGGACTTGTGGGGTGGGGGGGGGGGCGAAGGCAACATTGCATCCGTCATGGCATGGCTTATCAGGGCTTAACTGGAACTGGGTGGTAAGCTGAAAATTAAGCTTGTGGTTAACAGCGCTTCACATACGTAGGGGTTCCAACCTTAAACAAGAAGGGGGGGCCAGCCAGCTGCTGCCGCTGGGTGCCTGCTGGGTGCTGTTGCAAGGTGCGGATGCGTGCGAGCCAGTGGTGCAAGGCGGAACCAGTGCTGCCGGTGAAGGATGCTGCGGTTGGACCAACAAAACACATTTTGAGAGCTTGGCTTGTTTCCTTGCTGAGCATGACTAGACGGCTGAGAAAAACACATTTTCGTGGATGCACCCAATTCCCCTCCAAACCGTGTGTCGCTATTCCCGGCCTTCTTGTCCGCATCCCCAAGCAAGGCAAGGCTGGCACGCTTCTCCTGTGGGACCATGCGGCACATGCGATAGGACCCTGGCTGTGGGCATGATCCACTGCTTTCGTGCAAGGGTTGCTTCCTTTCACTCTCCACCAATCCAAATGGCTGTGGGTCCAAAACAGGTACACAAAATGGAACCCCGCTAATCCTGGTAAGTGCAAATTTGATATGGACTAAGACCTGCGGTCCATCTCCTGGTGGGTTTAGTTTGACCCACGCCTTTGTTCATTCGATCCAGCTAAGCGATCCAAGCCTGAGCCTTCTCCAGGATGCTGGTGGCAGCCTCCAGCCTGGAGGGCCCGAGGAAGCCGCAGTTTGCTCATACACGAACCGCCGAAAGCTTCAACGGACAGTACGCTGATCAACCTTGGGCTTGCGGAAATCCAGCCTTCTTGGAAAGGCTTCAACAAAACAACACGAGGAAACCGACAACTCCTCCTCCACACTTGACCATGCAACACACATCCTCAGTCTATGCGTTGCCGCGCCTTTCTTGAGCTGCCTGGATCCTGCCCTTGAGCGACGCTTCGTCCTGCGCAAGATATGGCGAGTGCGCCTACGATATTGTCCCCACTGCACTCAAAACAGACACATTCCACAGGGGTTACTGCACTTCCCCAAGTTGGGACTTTGCGGTCTGTTTCGCCCGAAATGCCATGGGTGCGCATCAGACTTCCACCCCAAACTTGTGAAGCAGCATGACACCGTCACACCCTTATTCTTCGAAGCTGAGATCGGGGTAATTAGTGGAAGCCGTCTTAGAGATGTGTGTAGCAAGTGTAGGCTGCATCTGAGCCAGCATGCAGTTGAAGGTGCTGGCACCTGCTCCAGGCGAAGGGTACACAAGAACAAGCAAACTGCATGCCAGCAGCGTCTTCTGAGCAATGCTTTTTGGGGTGTTGCCGAGCCCATGGAAGCGCAGCAACACCCTCCGGATTTTCTGTGGGTCCGGACTTCCAACCTTTTGCCACTACGCCCGCTCCTCCGCGGGCAGTTTGCCGGCCTGGCTCTGAGCCTTGCAGGCTGGGGACTCGGAGTTGAGGGGCGGGCAAAAAGCAAAAAGCCCCAACCTGCTTCCCCCCCCCCTTTTCCCGGAGCACACGCTCAAACCGAGTGTAGGTTAAATGAAAGCCCATTTGTTTCCTGCAAGTCTAAGGGGCTAAGGTCACAGGGAAATGACCTAGATGAATGGCGCCAAGCACGGATTGATTCATGAAAGCGTAAAATGAGCTGACTCATCCCACACCTCAACAACAGCGAAGTGATTGGGGGGGTCGGTCCCGAGTTAGGACGGTTACTCGTTCACGGGTGTTTATTAGAACGCTGCAGGACAGGGCAGGACAGGTGGCATCGACCCACCCAACACGGGCAACCGGCAATTTTCAGTGCATGAGGGATCTTGGCAGTTCGCACAGGGATTTTTTCACCCAGGAAGTGATCGTGATGTGCAACAGCAATCACCCCCGTCTGGATCATTCCGTCTCTACAACCCTGCCCCACTCCAACTCACCAGCAGTGGATGCCAACCGCCAGCCGCGACCAAAATGCAATATCACAGTATCACGAGCATTCATTTCCCAGGTACCCGCTGCACGAACCAGGGGTTCAACTCGCCAAACCACAAATCCAAACTAACAATTGGGAGTTGCCTGATTCATGGACAGGGTGGGGGCCTCTTGATTTAGGCCCGAGCTCAAAAAGCCTTCAAATGTGATATAGATTCCACAGATATCCCAAACACATCACATCGAGGATATCCCTCAATGAAAAGATATCCCACAATCCTAAAAATGTTGTTTCAATGTGCTAAAGATAGAGCATATTTTGAAGTGTAAGGCAAACGTTCAGAAGAAAGAAACACAACCAACCAGCCAACCGACCGACCGACCGACCGACCAACCGACCAACCGACCAACTGACCAACCGACCAACCGACCACCAACCAACCAACTGACCAAACGGACCAACCGAGCAAACAAACCAACAAACCAACAAACATGGACATATTTCCAACGATAGATCCCCTTGAAGACCAACAGTCGTTTACATACCAGCATCTGATTATACATACAAATGTACATATACACACATATGCATACACATATTTATATATATAAATAAATAAATATATATATATATATAATTATATACACATAACCACCTCTTCCGCGGTGCTTTTTTCGAATGCGGGCGATGCCTCGCCTCCAGGAATCGGAGGCAAATCTTCAGGTCCAGCCCCGCCGCCTCCAAGGACTGCTTCGCCTTCTCCACGGGGCCTCCGACGAACAAAAATCGGCGGAGAAGGCCACGGACGGGCTTAAGCCCAGAGGACCCCAAACAGGGGGGTCTTTTTGCCACCTTTTGTGAGAAAATTGGCGACCCCCTCAAAAAGGAATCCTTCACTACAAGGGGGTCGATCATTTTTCCAAAGGTGGCAAAAAGACCCCCCCTGACCCCAAAAACCCTCGTCTTCCCAAGTAGCATCTGAGCATCTGTAGGGAGGTCAAAACCTGGAACCTTGACTTCCTCCCACTAACATAGCACCTTGTGAGGTCAAAACCTGGAATCTTGACTTCCTCCCACATTAGCTGTGGGGAGGCACCTGGGAGATCATTTTCCTCTTGGAGGGACCCACTGTCAGGTTAGTTTAAATGGTTGGCAGGAAACACCTCACTTCAGCGAATTGGCCTAAAACAACTAACCTTTTGCTTGCCGATGAAAATTAACCATCCCCAGTTGGTTTCCCCTTGGGTAAACTAAACACCATGGCACCCAAAGCTTCGTCATGTTCCAGAAAAAGTCTGGGCAAAGTGGATTGCCAAATCAGAAACTTGGTGATCTGGGGACAAATAGCCAGCGCGGAGCTATGGTCCGGAATCCCCGAGGCAGCCATGCTTGCTTGCAGCTTGGCTTCAGGTGCATCGTTCAAAGTATGGCCGTACCAAAGAGGAAACTGTAATGAACACAAAAAGCAGCGGAACATGTTCCATACCAATTTGTTGAAACCCAGATCCAGCGGATTGCCACAGCTTGTTCATGAGCCGACAAGCCTTTCCCAGTCATCCCTGACGTCTTGTGTTCATGGCAGCGAGGGCAAGCCGCTCCTGTGCATAATGTTGGGGACAAAGAAAACAAACCAAACAACATGATAATAACACAAGAAGAAAAAAAACAAACACGCCGGACAAGCAAAGCCGCACACACAACATGCAAATACCGAACGCGCAACCAAACACGCAACCACCAAACATCCGCCAAGCACCAATCAACCATCAGCCAATCAAAAATTCACTCAGCGAAAAACACCCAACCAAGAGGGCCCCGCAGAAGAAAGGCGCCTGCGTAAAAGGGTAGCTCAAGCACACGCACCTTCGGCTCCCACCCTTCGGCCCGGCTCGCCTGCCGGCTCCTCGATGCCCTTACCGGCGGCCTTCCCCTGCCAGCGCAAGGTCACGTGGGGTGCGTGGCTGCAAGGGCATCTTTTGGGTTGGTTTGAAGGGAAACCAAAAGGAACATCACTAGGTTTGCATATACAAAAACAAAAAATAGGACTACATTACATATGGGGAGCGGACGAAACGCTTTACTTGGCCCTAGTACTTTTTTGAACGTTATCGTTTTTGGGGGAGACCTTATCGTTTTACAGTGTTTTCGAACTTTGGCAGATCCGGCTCGAAAATCGGAACTTTGTAGTACAAGTCTAGTACGGGAAGTACACTTCCACAGCGCTCCAGCTCGAAAATGGAAACTTTGTAGTACAAGTCTAGTACGCGAAGTACACTTCCGCAGCTCCAGCTCGAAAATCGCAACTTTGTAGCACAAGTTTAGTACGGGAAGTACACTTCCGCAGCTCCAGCTCGAAAATCGCAACTTTGTAGTACAAGTCTAGTACGGGAAGTACACTTCCGCAGCTCCAGCTCGAAAATCGCAACTTTGTAGCACAAGTCTAGTACGCGAAGTACACTTCCGCAGCTCCAGCTCGAAAATCGCAACTTTGTAGTACAAGTCTAGTAAGCGAAGTACACTTCCGCAGCTCCAGCAAGAAAATCGGAACTTTGTAGTACAAGTCTAGTACGGGAAGTACACTTACTTCCGCAGCTCCAGATCGAAAGTCGCAACTTTGTAGTACAAGTCTAGTACGCGAAGTAAACTTCCGCAGCTCCAGCTCGAAAATCGCAACTTTGTAGTACAAGTCTAGTACAGGAAGTACACTTCCACAGCTCCAGCTCGAAAATCGCAACTTTGTAGTACAAGTCTAGTACGCGAAGTACACTTCCGCGAAGTGCCGCAGCTCCAGCTCGAAAATCGCAACTTTGTAGTGCAATCCTAGTACGCGAAGTACACTTCCGCATCTTCAGCTCGAAAATCGCAACTTTGTAGTACAAGTCTAGTAAGCGAAGTGCACTTCCGCATCTCCAGCTCGAAAATTGCAACTTTGTAGTACAAGTCTAGTAAGCGAAGTACACTTCCGCATCTTCCGCTCGAAAATCGCAACTTTGTAGTACAAGTCTAGTACGCGAAGTACACTTCCTCAGCTCCAGCTCGAAAATCGCAACTCTGTAGTACAAGTCTAGTAAGCGAAGTAGCTCCAGCTCGAAAATCGCAACTTTGTAGTACAAGTCTAGTACACGAAGTACACTTCCTCAGCTCCAGCTCGAAAATCGCAACTTTGTAGTACAAGTCTAGTAAGCGAAGTAGCTCCAGCTCGAAAATGGAAACTTGGTAGTACAAGTCTAGTACGCGAAGTACACTTCCGCATCTCCAGCTTAAAAATCGCAATTTCGTAGTACAAGTCTAGTACGCAAAGTACACTTCCGCAGCTCCAGCTCGAAAATCGCAACTTTGTAGTACAAGTCTAGTACGCAAAGTACACTTCCGGACCCCCATAATATGTATACATATTATGTATACATATTATGGGGGTCCGGTATTTCGCCTCTTGACTCAAACCCATATCGGAAACATTCAGGGGCAGGCTCAGTTGGGCTGAGACATCGCGTCTCTTGGGTCTGTTCAAATGCGGACACCTTTCTTCTGGATAGGTGTTTCAAGGGAGCTCCCTTGCCCCAAGGACCCAGCAACAAGAGGTTGACTAAATACTGATCCACCAGGGGAAACCAAAAGGTCGCATGTCGATTTGTTTTGGCCAAGTGAGGAAAAGGGACTCAGGAGGCCTAGAGGGGTCCTTGAATTGAACCGCGAAAGGTTTTTTGGGTTGACAGCCATGGCATGAACCCAAACTCGGTTGGCACAAAACAAAACAAATGTAGATCTGCTGGGGCAGCGGTGTGTTCCTCGTCTGGAGTTCAGATCCTGGAATTTCGGGCTTAGGGCTTTCACACCAGAGCAGTTCATTCCAGCACATTGCCAACACTCGTGCCAACACCCGTACGCTCAGACCCCGCATCTTCTGTCCAAACAGAAGCGTAAGACATTCTAGCTAGCTGATGAGAAGCCAGGCCTAGCTGAACCTGCAGTGGAACTGCCGGAGTTAGAGATTCAAACGTGATGGGTTCCGCCGTCAGAAAGCAACAAATGCCTGAGACAGGATGGCCCACTTTAAGACTCTTGATTGATCAAAGTCGTGTGCCGCTTTGATCCGGTTTGCTCTCTAACAAGCTGGCCTTGTTCAGTTGTGTCTGCACGCCTGCGATTGCAATTTGGCCCACACTTCGGCATTTTGGCAAGCTTACTGTGCACGTGAATTACTCAAACCAGGCTTGAAAGAGTCCGAGCATCAAATGACACCCATGCATTCTGCACTTCTGCGAAGAGAGTGCTGTTCCGTACCTCTGTTCCATTATGTTTCTCCCGAATCTACGCGTGTATGTCTGTTGTCTCTAAATGCGGCACCAAAGCCAAACAAAACATCGTTTTCGGGGCGTTCCATGGCTGCTTCTAGTTTGAGACAACCCCATCACTTGCCCAGTGACCCCAACACAAATTGGCGCATATTGAGAAGGGTTGCGAAGACGGCAAGGCATGTTTGTTTTGACTTCCGGCTGGTAGGGCGTTCCCCCGGCTTCCTCACGTCCCAGGCAGACCTCCAGTGACCCCTGCTTGTCGGTTGATTTCAACTAGAAGCCTGAAACACCTGGCATCTCTAATATTGAAACAACAACTAAGCAAAAAATCCAGAACCCCCCCCCCCAAGCAAAAGAACACAACAAGTAACACCCCCCCCCCCTATCCCACCCCATCGCAAACCCAAAAAACAAGGGGGGACAACAGCACCCGAGGCACCTCCCATGGCCTCCGAATCCCGGCCGCTCGGACGACTCGTCGCGCGCGCCTTCCAGGCGCCCGCCTTGGCTGTGGCCTTCGCCGCGGTGGCCTTGGCCGTGGCGTTCACCGCCGCCTCGGGCGCCGGGTTTGGCGCTTCCCCACACGGCTTACGCCGAAGGAAACGGGCCGCCAGGCGTCTAAGGAACCAGCAAGAAGAGAAGGACAAAGTTGGGGTCCTTTGGTTCCACAAAAAGGCCCCAATCCCAATAATTGGGGGCTCATAGCGCCGAAAAGTGGTCCAACGAGGAGTATATAAGGCCTATTGGAGTCCACTATGGGCCCTTTATGTAAGATTCCAACGTCCACAGGATGGGGTTTGGCTGGCATTTGGCTAGAAAATGATGGATAACAAACCAGCTGCGACCAAATGCAGCCTGCCTATGTGCTTTTGGAGGCCAAGGGAAACCCGCGGGGGTGACCCTGGATGAAGCAGAACCCCTGGTTGATTTTGATCGGGGCCAAGTTGCAACATCCCGATTAAGGGCGGGCTCTACTTAGATCCGGGGTCAACAGTACAAGAAATTTGACAGACACCCTGGGTGTTGGTATGTATTTTCTGGTATTGGTTTAAATTCCTGGAGCAATTCCCCTGCTCATGGGATGAGCATTGGAGCTGGGAAGCTATGTGAATTGGAGCGGCGCGCTTGGGATTTGGTTTGGGTGGCTCTGACCCCTGTAAACATCAACGCGGATTCATATTGCATGATCCTTGTCTGAAGCCATCGAGAAGGGTATCCACAGAAAAACTCTGCCAAGTACCAGTGGCAAGGTGGTCCTTTGCCTTCGACCAAAACAGAAGCCCACATAAATGGTTGTTCCTTTCCCACAGTGGATTTCCATTGGTGAAAACGGGCACGTTTTGGTACTTGATTTCAAAGGGAACTCTTCTCCAAAAAGAAGTTGAACAATATATTTACGCCAACCAAGCCCTCGGTTGACAAGTTTGGTGCCAGGAAAAAAATCCTCCACCATCTCACCGGCCAAAAAAAACCTGGACATAACAGGTGATCTGCTTCGGGGATCTTGGTGATCAGCTTCGGGGATCTTGCGTTGAACATAGTAGGCCCAACATTTTGGCAGCCTTTCAAGAGAGTCTTTCAAGGTCAAAAAAGTGGCCGGGGGCTGGCTGCTGGAAACTCAAGAATCAGGGCTAAAACTTTCTGCCTTGGGGAGGAATGTGGGAAACGCATATGATCTTTGGCAAAGTTTCTGCTCGCGAATCGCGAACCCTCTTTGGGATGGATTCAGGAGACTACGAGGAACGCACATGTGGGAAGCATTGCCTCTTGTCGAGGCGGTCACACGAGTTCATGGCTCCCCTGAATCAAATAAAAACTACAAGGAGGTTGTTTAGCTTTTTTGCTATGAAGAAAGGGTGGGGCATATTTACCCAAGAGACAAGAACATCCCCATCCTACAAAAAAGTGATAGTATACTTTGGTGTGTATTGCAGCGACTCTCACCAATGTGTCCGCCCCTCTAACCTCCAAAGGGCCTAAGGGTCTGTGTGTACTGTGCACATATACACCTATTGTTTTTTATATTTACTGCACTAACATACATTTACTACATAAATATGGGTAGGAATATACGTGTGGCTACTTGGGTAAAAGCCCCATGTAAGCTCTGAGGTCATTTGCCTGGCCCTCGTTGCATGGCTTTCTCCTTCGAAGGGCTCCCGGCCGACGGCTTCGAGTCCTCCGGCTTCTCCTGCCGCGTGCAGTGCTCTCCCGATGTTTTTTGCCCGTCCGTTTCAGCCCTTTAATAAGAAAAAAGCAGAGGACCTGACAGGGGCGGTCTGAGAAGACCGGGTCCTAACAAGAGGTTTTCTTTTGTTCAGGAGTTCAGGGTTCAGTGTTTTAGGTTTTTGGGAGGGCACTCGCGTGAGCAACATGCGGCTCATGATATGGCCACTTCCAACGAAAGATTCCCCGCTGGTATCAGCGGAGCTGGAACTTGGTGCGTGCCATGCGCACACCTCCAAACATTGGCAATCGAATGATGGCTTGAAACTATCGCAAGCGGAGCTCTGGAGAACGCTCTCAGCGACCGTTCTGTGTAGGCTCGTGGGAGGGCGTCTTTCCAGTTTTGGTGCTGGAAGGCACGCCTCATAAATATTTACTCGGGGAGGCGGGCATAGCAAACGTAGAAGGCAACTGAGGCAACGGGATGCGGCGGAGCTCCCTGAAAACCGGCGCAAGTCTTCTGGCTAGGCATAGGCACGGTCGCTCTCCGAACAAAAATGGCTGTCGCAGCCATGTTCGCCTGCTTCATGTGCGCTGGCGTTTCCATGTTGGATGCTTGGTGGATTCCGCCTCCCCAACTCCAACCTGGTTGACTGCACTTTGGCTCGAAAAAGGACACAGGTGACAATGCCACGAAATAGCCATCCTCCCAAAAGGCTGACGGGTAATGGTTGGGGAGATAGCCCGAAGCGAACAACACTCAAACAAAGTCATATTGGCGGTCTGCCTAAAACAGTGTTGAGGAACCGGGACCACCCCCGCACCAAAATACATACGCAAGCACAACAGCTGAACTTCACCTTCTGCCCCCCCCCCTCCCCAGCCATAATCTTGTATGTCCGGTTCATGATTATTTTGCGAAGTGAGCCTTACAATGGGCGCACACCCCGCCCCCAACCTGACCATGCCCGCCCTTTTTCCGCCCGCGGCCCGCGGCCTCGATCGGGTTGGTCTCCGCCTCCTTCGCCAACTGCTCCGCCTGCCCCACCTTCTCCTCTGAAGCCTTCACCTTGGACTCCACCTGAAGTCATGGGGGCTGGGGGCCCGGATTTAGCCCTTAACAAGGCCTGATTTAGGGCTCCAGGCACAGACTTCGAAGGCGGTATTTCCCCACTCAACCTACCAGGGCCAGGCAAAATCGCACATATACCGTATCATATACCCCTGAAAAACGAAGGGAAACCTGAAGCCAAAAAAAGGGGAGGTAGGAGTAGTTCAAAGATGCTCAAAGCATTTCAGCAGTGCATTAGCAGTCGTGTGAAGGTCACATATCATGTATTTTTCTTTTGTAAGGATCTATGTTTACTTTATGTGCACGTACGTTTGTGTATGCCAACATGCCAACGAGCACTCTGCCAACTCCCAGGCTCAAGGAGCATTGAGGTGAATCCTGTGCATAAATACTCCCTTAATCCAGAGATCGGCAGGGGGCTTTAAGATTTGGATGAGGTTGAGATGCACTCGTCAGCGAAGCCGTGGTGATTTAGGGCCAGGAAAAAAAAGCAAGCAAGGGTGACCCCTGATTAATAGACCACCCACTTCTTGTTCAGGGGTGCCCCTAACTAGTGGGCAATTCTTTCTTCCAGGACCCGCCTGAACAATTAGCTGGGAGGCGACACTAGGATACACCAGGCCAAGAGCTTCACCAAACTTCGCGGAGTCCCAACCTCGTCGATCTGCGCCTTGAGCGTCAGCTGAGCCTGGCGCGTAAACTTCAGAACTTCAGATACCCAACGCCGCGAGGAAACCGACCCGCCCGGAACAAGTTCTTATCCTGGAAAGGTGGCTGGTCCCGACCTAACAACCTGGCAAGACATCCATTTTGTGCGGAAAAAACATGTAAACAACCGCCTACAACACAAAAGCTGCGTCACTGTGACACATTGGGGCAGTTCGGATGCAAAGCCCAACGGCACTGAAAACCATAGCTCAGAAAGAGTGGAGGTAGAACAACTCAACCCCTTGAGGCATACCAATCTCGGGGGCACCTGAAGCAATAACCACCTCAACGCATCTTTCAAATGGCCGTGTGCTAGCTCGTGCACGGGAGGGTGCCAAATGTTTGCCTTGGAAATGCTGCGTCTTGCACTCAATTTGTCCGTCTTGCTTTGATTCAACTTGCCCCGATTCGCCTTTGACCTGTGAGCTGCAATCAAGTCAAAGGCACTTCATGAATCTGGATCTGGCCCTTTTGCCCGAATGCCAAGTTGCGGTGGCTTTGTGCTGCAAGAACCATAAGGCGTTGCGCCCCAATTCAACAGGCGTTGCCGCACCGAAAAGCACACAACCAACTTTGCTCATGCCCCGCAATACAGAAGAAGGGCCCGCCAGGGGCTTGCGGCTTTGAAAACAGGCCCTCGTCCACGGCGGGCCTGTCTACCAATACAACGTGCATTTTTAAGGCGGGGCATCAGGCATGTACTGTGCAGGAAACCTATGCACCGCATGCGCAGAGCGGCCATCCGTGTGATTAAGCCTTAGCGCAGGCCGGTTGTGACGTCGCTCTTGCCCATTCCAAAGCTTTGGGGCCCCCATTTCAGCTCCTAGATCTGTGCATGCAACACACCCCTAAAATCAACCCGGAATCTCAAACAAATCAAAGAAAACACCTAGGGTTAGAGGTCTATTGGCTGAGAGCAAGTGTTGTGAAATGCATTTAATGGGGGCGTAACATCAAGAGATGCTATGGCAACAGGACACCACTTCCAAGCACGGAGGGTCCCCAAAGGGCTCGGCTTCCTGTTTCTGGTCCACACTTAGTAAACAAACTTTAAAATTCACATCATTTCACCAGAGACCCCACGGAAAGCAGGGGAAGCAAGCCTTTTACATCCAGTGGCCTTGGAGGACACAAGCTAGCTGTTGCTGAATGAATCGCTTGGAGGGAAATCCACTCCAGAATAAGTTGAGGGGCTAAATCCCCCACAGCAGCCCAACACCGGGCAACGACATATTGTTGGATAGAAGAGGTGGAACTAGCCTGAAGCAATGTTTTCAAAAGGCAACAAAGGTGGAAACCAACATGGACTCGCTCGCTTTTGCCTTTCTTGTTGATCAACCACTTTCAGAAGGGTACCATCGAAAAGTCATACCCATTTATGAGGTCATTTAACCTCCCCTAGCACAGCACATGCACAAAGCACACAAGGGACGGTAATGCCCCCTCCGCAGAAGGTTTGGGGGTTGGGATCATCCCTGAAAGTTAACAGAAAAACACTGTATTCATAAAACAAATAAACTCTCCCACTAACGCGCCACCTGACAGAGAACCCCCTCAAGAGGAGACTGATCTTCCAGGCCCCCTTCCACAAATCTTCCATGTTCTCAGGGCAACTCCTGGTAGCGCCTGAAGAGCTCCCTCTTAAAAAAAATATGTTGGATATCCCCAGCTCCGGAACGGCTCGCTTTGGGAAGGGAGCGTGCGCCTCACCTCACCTCACCTCGCCTGCACCTCCGGCGGCAGTGTGCCGCAGTGCGCCACCGCTGCCTCCGCCTGCCGCAGCCGCGCCTGAAGGCTTCTTAGCTTGGTGTTGGTGGCTTGGCCCAGTTGTCATGTGGACGGCACATGACGGCACAAAATCAATTTCGCGCCACTTTGCAATGGTTGAAACCATTGTTTGTGGGTATTTACAGGAGAATCATCACTCCAGGGTTTCATAAGTGCTGCAGGATTTCGTCCATCTACAGGAGATGGACAAAATCCTGCACCACCTAAGGGACCCTGGAATGATGATACCCCTGCAAATACCAACAAACAATGGTTTCAACTTTCCCATGGCTTCAAACTGGTGCAGGATCACAGTAGGGTTTTATCAATCCAGCCAGGTGCAAAAGTTGTTTATGCAGGATGTTATCATCCCCAACGAGGTGCAGGATTCTGTCCATCAACTGGGCGTGGGAGCGCTTGTCTGTAAGGGCACCCTTTAAGGAAACCAAAGGAAAGGTTGGTTCGAAAACGAAACCAAAGGATCACACGGATTTCTGGAGTGCCCCCGATTCTTGAAAGCTCGGCCTTTCCTCCCCTTTGCGTCCTTTGCACGCGGGCTTAGGGTTGGGAGATTTGGAATTTCGCCTCACTTAGCCGCAACTCTGGTGGATTGGCGAACTCAACTCTAAACTTTAATATTTGCCGCTAAGATGATTGTGCCTAGCAAAAAAGAAGAAGCCCAGGAACTCACTCCGTTAGTTGACTAATGAACGGCGTTTTTGCTGATCATGGCTGCCCACTCTTCCTGGAAAAGCAATCATCTACTGGCCAACCGAAAAAATATATCGTTGAACAGGGATAACAGGGTCCAAAGCTTTTTAATCATGAATACGGGGCGCAACACTTTGACAACCGATTCCCATTATTCGAAGCATGGCCCCAAGTTGTTGATGTCTGGTTTCCTTGGTATGGCGCCGAAACCTTTGATTCAGGCTGCGAAGGGGAGATAGCAATGAAGACTCAAGTGCAAAACAAAATCCGGCGGTTTGATTGATGGTTTCCGTGTATAGGGTTCCGGATGAAAATCTATTTGGCCGCTTCGGAGCGCCTTATTTTCTTGAGCCAAAACATGTCGGTAGTCTCAACTGTACAACTGTATATGACAACAAGCGTATTGGGCTACATATTTCAACACTCCTCCTTGCTGGAGGGTGCTTGATCACCCGCACAGCAACTATACAGTGCGGTAGTCGGAGCCTGGACCAGGGCCTTACGAATCTAGAAGACTCATCTGGCCTTTACTCTTGCTTTGAAGAAACACAAATCCGGAACGATTCATTGTGTCCTTCATTTGGACTCCGGGTACTGACTTTGTCAGCACATCAGACCTGTTCCGCTTGCCTGGTATGTGTTCTACCTTTAAATGGTTCATCGCCACACGTTCCTGTAACCACAGATAACGAGTTTGAATGTGGCGTGCCTTTCCCAGGCCTACTCTATTAACCGTGCCTTTGGCTGCGGTTGCATCAGACTCTACTAGAACCTCTACCTCAACTCCAAAGTCTTGAAGGAGGGATTGAAGTCCTAATCCTACAGAACCGCCTTTCACCAAAGCGTAATACTCACTCTCTCCAGTGCTCAATGCTATCGTCAACTGGAGGTTGCTTGAGTGCTTCAGTGTATGGCTACCATAGAGGGCAACCATGCCTGTAGTGCTTCGCCTATTGACAGCGTCTCCTGCATGGTCAGAATCAACCTGTATACGGACCTTCGAAGGTTTGGCTTGTCGCCCAAACACTTGACAAAGATCAGGATACTTCAGCAAATACCTGCACAGTCTCTTCAGGTCTTGCATCGCCGCCTCGGTCGGGGTGACCATCTTCCTTGAAAGATTCTTCACAGCGTGCGAAAGATCAGGACGATCTTGACTGAGGTACGCTGCTCGCATCACACTCGACCTATAAAGTGAAGCTGCTTCTCGCGCCAACGGAGGGCTGTTAGCCTCCAAAAGCTGCTGCTCCACGGACTTCTTGATGTCTGGGGTCTCAGTGCCCTTCGCGTTCACCATTCCCAGATGTCTCACCAAAAGTTCCACATGACGGCGGTCAGGTTCCAAGAAAACCGCTGATTGGCCTTCGTGCATGCCAATGCGGATCAGACGATTCAAGAAATGTGCAGCGCGATCATCTCCATCCTCGTCTCCCAGCATTCCGAGCCGTTTCAGCTCGTAGGCACTCCTTAGAGTGGAATCCAGCTCATCCAAAGCTTCTTGATCACCAAGTGCAAGGAAGTCGTCTCCATGAACCAACACTCTGCACCCTGTGCTCGGCTTGTAAAAGCAGGAACCATTGCTGCGGCCACGCTGAAACCCATGCTTCAAAAGAAGTTGGGTATAATGGTCTTGCCATATTGCTGGCGCGTCTTGGCAACCATACATGCTCTTCTCCAACAAACCACAGAAGCCTTCTTCTGCGTCTTCTGGTGGAAGCTCCACATATATACGTCGCTTCGGAACTCCATAAAAGTGCGCTCGACTTATGTCCCAGAGACCGAGCTTCAGTCTCCGGCCCTTGGCTGACACCCGGTCTGTTGCCCAGGCACTCAGCAAGTAGCGCATTGCCTCCAACGGTGGCGTTGACGAGAACAGGAGGTTCTGCGGCAACTGTTCTTCCGGCTTCTTAGCTGCCTTAATTTCACGGGCAACTAATCTAGACCGGTAGTTGGGCTTTTCCGGATCTCCTTTGAGCGTGTCTAACCATCTCACCGTGATTGGACGAAGTCCCTCTGCGTAGCATTGTGTTACCGGCACCTTCCGGTAAACTCCTTGCTTCTTGAAGTAGTCCATCTCAAGAGTTCTGGCCTTCTTAACTTCTTCCGCTGGTAGAAGTCCTCCATTCACATCATCCCAGTACTCTTCAATGTAGCCTGCTGGAACAAAAGGTTCCTCACAGATTGGCCCTGATGTATTCGACTCCATTGAGTTAAGCTCACCCTTCTGTACAAGATAAGCTTTGACTGTCCGAAGGACAGCTTTGACCAGCGCAGGTGGGTACCTGGCGGCCTGTTTGGCAATTCCACCAATAAGGTGTACATGCCTGTGCCAGGGATCTTTCCCTGCCTTGTTGCTGCACTCACCTTCCAAGAGCTCAGCAAGCTCCCGGCTATTAGTGAGCCAACCGGTCTCCTTTCTCACATAGCCCGTGCCTTGAAGACCACGGCGGTCTGTCGCCATCATCTCCCATCGGCACATCGGCCCTCGGACCAAATATGTGTCCGGGCGATCCGTCAGTTCCTTGACTTCAGGATCTTTCCACGAAGTGGCACTCCAGGGCGCCTCGTGCAAGAACAGGCGTCCTGTATCCAGCTGCTTCCTATAGAAGCTGCATGAGTTGTGCAAATGCTCCAGTGCTTTATCCATACGGATCTTACGTTGATCCGGGCTGACCCTGTACTTGTTGATGTTCTGCAAGTGGCTGAATTGATCACACGGCGGACTCCCAGTCAGTAGTACTGGTTCGTCGCGATCAATCAGTTGGTTTACGGCCTCGACGTCTTCTGGCCTGCTAAGGTCCCAGAACGAACCGTCGGGTTTAGCCTCCTCAAGGTCGATTGCGAAACCAGGCTTTAAACCAAACCTGCTCGCCTCCTTAGAGAATCTTGCTGGACTGTACACTTCCATGATGTGTACGGCGCTTAGCTCGCAGCTTATGTTGGCTAGAGTCTCAATTTCCACTGACGAGATCTCTACCTCCTGCTGCTCATAGACCTGCTTGATTCTCCTCTCGATCATCCTCTTCACCACCTCCTTTGCCCTGCTCAAAGACAGTCCTCCCGCGTCCGGGGGCTGCCCTGGAGTAGTTGCTCCAGCAGGTGGCTCTCCAGTTTGATCTCTCAAATCTTCAACTGATACCTCAGGTTCTCTCTTCTCTCCTTGGGGTGGCCTTCAGCTTAGGTCCAGCGGCTATCCTGAGTTCTCCCGGTCTTTTCTGAGGCTTGACCGGTGAGGCTTTAGCCTTACTCCCTGCAGGCGTACTGCTACTGCTGGGCTCTGCAGGTGCACGTTTCAGGCTTGACCTCTCCTCTGGGTTGTCAGGGTATGGCAAAATGCCCTCATCCCTGCGTTCTTCACTAGCTTGCACGGCCTTGTCGGCCGGTGCTCCAGCTGCGTCATCAGCTGTCACATCCCTCTCAGGGGCCTCGTTCTTCTCATCTCTTTTAGATCTCTTCTTCCTCTCGTGTTCTTCTAATCTGCTCTTGCCTTCCTCATCTTGTTGCATCAGAGTCACAATCCTGGCTCTGCATGCTTCCGTGTGTGGCAACACGGTAGATTGGCCCAGCAAAATGCATGTGCATCCTGGGCACCCATCTGTAGGCGTATACTTCTCGACGTCTGCCTTCCGGATGTAGATCCTCTTCTGCATAGGTGGCGCCATGACATGAACTGCTGGTGGCACCTCCATCCTTGGCTCTCCAACCAAGACAACGGCTTCTCCAGCCGCTCCGGCACGTGGCGTGCCCGGTGACCTCCGTGCAGTCACCTCCCATGGAAGCCCTCGTAGGGCATCCCATCCGTCGGCTACCCAACGGTCACAGTCCGCCAGCCTGCGGACTCCAGTGCCCCTCTTGACACCATCTGCTGTGATCACCAAAAGTGATCCGGTACGACCATGGTGGCCGATGTACCGGCCTTCCTTAAGATGTCGTACTCCTTCTCCTACCTCACGGTAGTACAACTTTTCGCCTATAGCGATCGCTGGCTTTCGCCAGTTCTTACCACAACGCCTGTGTTCAGGCGTGCGGCCGTCCGGTCCTTTGCGGTACCGGCACATCAGGTCTGCCGCATGCCGCGGAAGCCATGCCAGGACGGGATCGTCCTCGCGTAGAACCTTGCCGATCATCTCTTCTAAAGAAGACCTCAAGACTCTTACCTGCCTCTTGACCTCACGGACTGCATTCTCCGCAAGTCCATTGCTCCGGTGGTCACCCACCGGGGACTCCTGTGGAACGTTTTCCACTCCAGCCTCACGGGCTGCCTGCTCCTTAAGAGCAACAATCGAATGCTCACCATCGCTCATCATGAC